ACGACAACTGTCATAAATATGAGTCAGTTGTCAAATAATTGAACTTTTTTTAGTTGATCATAGGGATTCTGCAACGGTCATAAATGTGAAAAATGGTAATAAGTTACTTTTTTCTGTGCTGTGTAACTTTGAACAATCACTAAATGAACGGTTGTAAATTGAAGACTTCCTATACAAGGACCATTTGAGTAATAATCCAAATAAATTGGACTCCTCCTTAGATGTGCTTCCATAAATTGCCTTTCTAGTGCAAACCAGAACAAGGTGGATCACTAATCCTGCTTGTGGTTTTTCCAAGTTGAAATAGTTCAAAGGTCTCATTTGCATGTAGAAATATTCCTGATTGTTCTTCATTATATTGTTTCAGATATTCCAAAATATCAAACAAAAGTAACACATTATTCTTCAGCTATCTTTTAATTTATTTATTTTTAAAAATCCCACATTATTAGAGGTTATCTGATATCTCTTGCCTCAATATTTCTGTTCTGATATTGGCCCAAGTATCTTGACCTAGCCCTTTTTCTGGCTGTTCTACTTTTTCCATCCCTGCTTGTCTGAGGAAGGTTTCAGTGAGGTCTATTTGCTGCACCCAGGATGTTAGTTGTTGCTTACAAAGTCTTGCAGTCTGTGAAAGCCAAATTACCTTCCTTTAGCAGCTAAGATTTGTTTTCATACACAGTGTTTAACAAGTCCCTTTCTCAGAGGTTATTTTTAAACCATGCCCAGTTTGATTGACTTCAGCTGAAACATCCCTCAAAAGTACTGGATTCTAGACAATTTTAATTCTCTGTTGCCCAACAAGGATTGTGGAGCTGTTTTATTTTGAAAAAATATCCAAGATACAATGTGAAAATTATTTCTTGTTTTTTTTTGTCTTGTACTAGATCTGTAGTGTAGTAAACATACAAACAATGTAGAAGTTCTGTCTATGTTTGATTTCCTATAATTTTTTTGTATATTTGTACTGTACAATGTTCTTTATAATATACTATTATTAGTATACTATTATACTATATAATCAGTGGTAGGATTCAGCTAATTTACAACTGGTTCTCTGACCTAATGACCGGCTGGGTAGGCATGACTGGTGGTCATGTGACTGGGTGGGCGTGGCCAAGTTGATATCACTCACGTCACCCAGCCTCTCCTCACCCAGCCACTCACCTCAAAGGCCTCAACAAATCTATAGTTCTGTAAAAACGTTGATCACCTTTTTTCGACTTTATTATCTGCATCCTGCTGGTACATAAAAGGACTTGGAATAAACAAATAAACCAAAGTTTGGTGCTAGTTTCATTTATTTCATAGCATGTGCTTTGCCATACTATAAACCTCTTAGATCCAGCAATGCATTACGCCACCTTTAATTATATAAATGTACTGAAATGCTCCCTATAATTGGTGATCAGCTTCATGTATTATTGTGTGGAAATGTGGGGGCTTTCCTCCATGGAGAATTGACAGTAACATTTCTCCAATCTAACTCAATCAATCACAATAAAGAAGCAACAAATGACAACCTTTTAATGAGATTTTATTATTCAGTATAAACTGAAATTCAGATTTTTTTAAAATAGTTCATTTGGTTTTCATTGTATTCCAATATTAAGTTTTAATTACGCTCCTTTAAGGAGAGGCAGTCTCTTTCCATTAATGTGTAACCATGCATCCATCCATTATTGTTGGGATTTCTATGGAATATCTTTGCTGGGTGTGGTTATGATTAATTCCTTTACTTAAAAATCACTTACAAAGGAGTACGAATCTGTGGAAGGGAAATGCATAGATGCTTTAAATAAAAACCTACAATTTACTTTGGCTTGCAATCTTTGTTATTCATATGGTAAAGGGTTATGGCTATTCAGCTGGTTCACTGAATTCCACAAAAAATTAAGCTACCAGTTCTACTGAACAGGTGCCAACTAGCTGAATCCCACCACTATATATAATACTATATATTATTGTCCATCTATGCCAGTGATGGCGAACCTTTTAGAGGCCAAGTACCCAAACTACAACCCAAAACCCACTTATTTATCGCTAAGTGTCCACACTGCAATTTAACCTAAATATTGAGGTTTTAGTTTATTAAAAAAAACTCTCACTCTCCCCCCCCATCTCTTCCTCTCTCCCTCCCTCCCTCTCCCTCTCACCCTCCCTCTCCTATTGCTACTATATTTCTACCATACTAGTATACAACAATATTGTTACTCTTTCAAACCCTGGTCTGTCTTTAAATCTTCTCTGGGATTTCCTCTGTTGTTTTTCTTCTTTGTTAATGGACAGCAGGTGAAATGCTGGCACTTCCCAACTCTGGGATTGGCTTTTGGGATAGCTTTTTTTGCTTTATGACTGTATCACTTAATGATGGAAATTCTCATCCAAATTCCATTCCTTAACCAAGGCCTACCTGTGTGGCTCACTGTCTTGATCCCTCTTTTAACCCATCATGGGTAGTGAGGCAATTGAGTGAAAACACAACGAATGGGGATTTTTATGCTTGTGATTGTGTGTTCATGCTTACATCCTCATTCTTACAAGTCAAGTCTTTTTCTCACTGTGGCAGCCTGCGTTGGAAAACATTTCTCCGGGAAAACATTCCCTCCGGGATTGGGTGGCCTATAAATCTATTAAATTAAATTAAAATTAAAATTGGTTCAGTCATGTTCCCTTTGTAAAACAAACTAGTTTATGACTTAAGATATCTTGAATCCTCAAGCCAAGGAAAACTGATGTCAAGTCTTTTGTCAGGTGTCCGTGGCACATGTATGGCTGGTTCAAGCCCACCCAGGGACAGCTTGCTTGATTGGTGTACAATAGATGAAGATGATGGATGTTAATTCATTCATTGAGTTCTTCATCTTGGGACAGTAGTTACCACCTTCCTAATACGTTTTTCTGCCACACTTAAATATTTAGCCATCTGCTTCATTAGCTTGAACTCCCAAAATTAAAAAGCAGGAAAAGACCCCAGGCCTAAGAGGGGAAATCAGAAAGTTACTTCTTAGTTTAGTTCCTGTTGAGAATACAACAGGAGGTCAATGCCAGCTTTAGCTTGTACACAGGTTACAAATTAGGAAAGTTGAATGATGCTTCACAACATTGTGCAACTGTGGAAATCTTGTTGCTTTTAGAGAGCAAAATGTTTCTATAGAAGAGACAGACAGCTCCAGGATCTCACAGAAGCCCTTTACAAGAGATGAGGATATGGCAATCTCATCAAGACAGAATGCAGAACAAATTCCTAGGCAGTCTTTCTGAAATCAGTTGTTTGACTCTGTCTAACCTCCCAAGAACTGAACATTTGCTGAAAGCCACATCCACTGAAATAGGAAATCCCTGAGATATCAGTGTCTTTATCCCATGTGGAAGCTCCAATTTGCACACAACCTCTTCAACCAAGTTCTTTCCATTTTTTATCTTTACCTATGACGTACTGGTTGTACAGGAGATTTTTTGAAAAAGAAACTCTCCTGAACTTCAGGATTGAACTAGCCAACTCTTTGATAAACTGATTAAATTAGGAAACGCTATGGACATAGTATACTTGGACTTTAGTAAGGCATTTGATCAAGTTGACCACAACCTACTTCTTGTTAAGATACAATAGTATGGGATAGAGAATATCACAACCAGATGAATTTACATATTGTTGATTAATGGTTCTGGATCAAACAGGTGAAAGGGCACCGATTTTGGTTTTGTAATCATGTCAATTTTTTCATAATGGAAGACTGACAGAATTAAACGAGGTATTTAGAAGGAGCCTTGCTATATAAAGAAATGGCTGAAAAAAGAAGAGCAAGAATGAGACGTTAAGGTCATTTTTAAAAAACTGCTCCTTAACCACTATTTCCCCTCTATGTACATGTTTTCTTCAATAATTATAACTAAATATCATTTTTTCTTCAGAGAAAATGGGCTGAAAAGAACCAGGCTTTTGGAAAGAGAGAGGTTAATTCTATTCTTTTTAAATTGTTTCTTTACTCTATTTCCCCATTTCTTTATTTTATTGATAAATCTTTTTGTTGTTCTTGCACTGTCATATCCAAATCCAGACTAATCTCTTCAAACCAGTGGTATTTGAGCCTTATATTTACTTTTCAACATTTGCCTTTCCTAATTTTGTAATACCAGCTTTTCTCCAGTCACACATGAGATTTCAATCTTCCATTCTCCATTTCTCCATCATGTCACCTGTTTTGAGGTAAAATTTCTAAAAGGTCTATGAGTTTCAGCTTTCTCTCCATTTTGCAACTTGATTTCTTTTGGGCGTCTTTTTTTCCTCAGGATTGTTTCCTCAGGATTATTTTTATTACTGTGGGCTCCCTCTTGGTGCTTCCAACTCTCCTTTGCCACTCAGAGGCATGACTTTGAAAAGGCAGCTGTAATAATTGAACTCACTAAAGAAAGTCAATACAAATCTTAACTTTCCTAACTCATCTTTCCTCCCTGGGTCTCTGCCAGCCCCCATATGTTCCATCACTCCAGGGTTGAGTTTGCCAACAGCCACAATATTGAAGCTTGTCTTTCAAAGAGAGGCTTTGTTTCTTGTCTTTTGACAGCCCTGTCGTTTCTGACAGGATTTTTGCTCCTTTTTGAGGCCTCCTTCAGCAGAGAAGTTGCTCTTGAGGAAAGTGGCTTTTGAGACTCCCCAGAGATTTCCTCAAGGTTGGCAAGAACACAGATGGTTCTTAGACATTAAAAAGAGGAAAATCTGGAAACTGTCGCCTGCGGGAGACGACACAGCCTTTCTAGGCAGGCAATGTTAGAAGGGCACTTTTCTGCTAGTCCAATGCCCATCATCCGAGTCCCACATGGAACATGGTGATCCCCTCCGTGTCCTCTAGCATCGCTCGGAGGATCCTCCAGGGGGCGTCCTCGGTAGCCATTGGAAGAACCGGGCAAAGATCCCTCCCCCTCCCGCTTTCGAAGAAAACTGAGCATGCGCCTTTTTCTTTCCCCGTCACAAGCGTTCTCCGGGCTAACCCCCACCCACCCCGAAAAGGGCTGGGAGCCCATCTGGCTTTTCTACTGTGTCCGATCCGACTCCCCTTCGCTCTGAACCTTAAGGTGAGTTTTTTTACAGAAGTCCAAGAGTTTGCAGGGAAATCTTACACGGATGGAGATCCAGACGCTGTTATTGGAGGCGCGCGTGGCGACCTGCAAAAGTTCATCAGGTTCGGAGTTATGGGAAAGGCAGACCCCGTGGTCCCATGTTCCCTTGCCGCCCCTGTGCATGCACGGGCCAGGCAGGGGGGAAAGCAAAGCTCCGGACCCTCGCGCTGCTCCTGGGGGGTGGGGATCAGGATCGCTGAAACGAGGGATGCATTTACCCTCCATTTCATTGGTGGGAAAACCTACAAGGGGGGTGGCGGGGGGAGAGAGAGAGGTCGGCTTTGCAAAACAAATTTCTACTTTCAAATCAGTCTTGATTTCTGGACAATTTCCTGCATATTTGGTGGCCCCGTTTTCAGAAAGGGGTTCCCTCTCCTCCTCTTTCCTAGGCTGAGAGAATCGACCTGCCGAAGTCGCTCCTGCTGCCTTTGCATGCAAGGCTGCAACTCCTTGTGCAAGAAATTGGATATAAGGTGTTCAAGGACTGGGACTCAATTTCCTGGTTTCCAGCCTTTCACCACCAACTGGTTCTTCCAGCAGATCACATCATGTTAAACCGTAGATGGTTTATTCTGTAGGGACATAGCAATAAAAATTAGTTAAACCTTGCTGCTATTTTGCTTTAATCAGAAATTAGTTTAACTCTTGCTACCTTTCTTCTGTATTCTTGCTTCTGGCTAGGAACTTCATGCTCCATATATAAGGAAGGCAGGAGCAAGAGCTTCCCAGTGTTGAGTCAAAATAGATAAGAATGTTTTGTCCACAATGCTACCAAGAAGGCTCCATAAGATAAGGGAGGCCAGGAAGAAGGCATGGACACCCAAGGCTACAAGAAATGCTCTGAGTAATAATCCCTATCTGTGCTCAGAAGCAGAAAAGTCATGGAGTCAGTGAGGGAGGCTTAGATGTTATTAAAAAATAGGTTAAGTGAAATAAGTGGTTTTTAAAAAATCATTTATTTATATCCTGCCTTTATATATTTAAAATAATAAAGGCAGTGGACAAACCCAATATTCCTTCCTCCTGCTGTTTTCCCTACAACAACCTTATGACATAGGTTGACCTGAGAGAGACTGACCCAAAGTCACCAAGCCAACATTCATCCCTAAGGCTGAACTATACTCACAGTCAATTAGTTTCTAGCCTGGTGCCTTAACTGTTTCACCAAACTGAATTTATAGAAGAAGAAAATTTATTGAAAAAAAATGGAAACCTTTATAGCTTTCCTTTTTACATAAAGCAAGGAATTCCTGTTTGGTTTTTTGTTGGTAAGTTGGTCAGCCTGTATTTCTGGAAGTTTCTTTTG